GGTGTAGGAACTGGTGCACACGTGTAGGTGTCTCTTAGTGGCATACCCCTCCGTTTTAAACATGAGTATTAATTCTGTCGACAAATATATATGAGTATATGGATGTCAAAAAAAAAATATATATATATATATATGAGTATATGACGTTATATATAAGTATATTCTAAGAATTTGGTTTGCAGTAACGATAACGAAATGAACACAGTTTTGATATACGTCGTTGTTGTCGATTGCCATCTATGATTTGGTGTTTATACGGGTTTAAGAACCATCACAATTTTTATTCTTCATATTTAGAGTTTTCGGTTCAGATATGAAAAGAGATGAAGTATATTAATATTCATAGATATAAGGATACAAAGTTGATATAAAATGATGGTTTATACAAGTTTTTATAAAGTTGATATCCATAATCCATAGTAGTAAATTTTTATACAAGCATGGACGTGAAAAGTAAAAGTTGAGTGATTGATTTCAAATGTGGGTAAACGTGGTGTTTGTGGAAGTTTGTGAAGAACTAATCAAAATTTTAGAGTTGTGTAAGTGTATCAAGAATTAAATATGTAATAATGGGCTATTTTCCGTTTCTTTGAGCATTGTCTTCTTAAGTTTTGTTCTGTTTCATAATGCAGTCAAGTAATGATCCTCTGCCTCGCAAATTAAAAAATCGAGTTTTCAAAATTCGTTTTTTTTCTTCTTATCCCAGATTCCCAATTAAGTTGTAATAATTAGCCTACTAATTAACTGGACCGTTTCATGGAACTTTATAATCATTATAATTTAAACAAAAAAAAAATCTAACGAAAACTCCCAATCATACTCTTCAACTGTTACACTTCCTATACAATCGACTCATCTCCTTTCTACTTTTTCAATTTCCACAAAATCACTAAATAAGCTAAAATTACTATACACTTTTGAAAAGAAAAAAAAATAACTAGGAAAGTCAATATTTTGAACTTTAAAAAGTGTAGTATATTACTAATTTATATGCAGTTCCAATATAATTCGTCCAGATTTGCACAACAAAAGCAATAAATAGCTGCATAAATTACGCCCATTTAGCCCATTACCACTATTATGTGGAAAAAGCAAAAGTCGCATGTGAAATATTTCAGATTTAAGAAAAAAAACACAAAGTAACCTCACAAAAAAAAATAAAAAGAGACAAAAGTCACGTCATCTCTCTCTCCTCCACCACTCCACACAGCTTTCAAATATCCCCTGCGAAGAACAGAGAAAGAGAGAGACCAGTGAGAGAGTCCATCGCTTTCTCTCTCTCTCTCCCTCCTTCCTTTTATCTCCAACAGAGACTTTGAGAGAGAGAGATCAACAAAAATGACAGCGAGTGAGATTCACCGACACAAGCAATGTCATTTTCTCCTTCTTCCTCTTCTTCTTCTTCTTCTTCTTCTTCTTCTCATTACTATCTCCTCCGCCGCGTCGTTGATCGGTGATTCGTCAGAGACAGACGTCGGAGGATTCGACTACGGTGAAGCATTGTCTAAAAGCTTACTCTACTTCGAAGCTCAGAGATCAGGTCGACTTCCGTACAACCAGCGCGTGACGTGGCGTGATCACTCCGGTCTCACCGATGGTCTCGAGCAAGGGGTTTGTTTCTGTTACAAAACTCATAATCATCAACATTTTTTTTTCTTCTTTCTTTTTAATGCTTTCCTTTTTAAAAAAAAATTCAAACTTATTTCACTTTTTAGTTTTGAAAAAAGAGACTTGAGAAGAAAAAAAATCTCTAGTTAAGGAATACTTTAAAAGCTAATTAAGACTGAGATTTATTGTTCATTTACTCAATGACGTGACTTTTAAATTTTTTCCAATTGTTGTTGTTCAGTTAAAAACAAATTCTTAAGTTTTGAAAATGACTTGATAATTAATTAAATTTTAATTTTTGGAATTTTGGGTTATAAAGGTGGATTTAGTGGGAGGATATCACGACGCCGGAGACCATGTTAAGTTCGGACTTCCGATGGCTTTCACGGTGACGATGTTATCGTGGAGTGTAATAGAGTACGGTGACTCACTCGCTTCCACCGGCGAGTTATCTCACGCGCTTGAAGCCATCAAATGGGGAACAGATTACTTCATCAAAGCACACACAAGCCCAAATGTTTTATGGGCCGAAGTAGGCGATGGTGACACTGACCACTACTGTTGGCAAAGACCAGAAGACATGACTACTTCACGGCGAGCTTTTAAGATCGACGAGAACAATCCGGGATCAGATCTCGCCGGAGAAACTGCGGCGGCGATGGCGGCAGCTTCGATCGTATTTCGCACAACTAATCCACATTACTCTCACCTTCTCTTGCACCATGCCCAACAAGTACATACACATTTTTAATGTTTTGTTGCAACAGACAAATTTTGTTTTTTAATGGGTCTTTTGATTTTAATATTTGGTTATGGTACTTTGTGGTTTTTGGTGTAGTTGTTTGAGTTTGGAGACAAGTACAGAGGAAAATATGATGAGAGTCTAAGAGTTGTGAAAAGTTATTATGCCTCGGTGAGTGGTTACATGGACGAGCTTTTATGGGGTGCCACGTGGCTTTATCGAGCCACCGACAATGATCACTACATGAGTTATGTGGTTGACATGGCTCACCAACTCGGTGGCCTTTCTTGGGCCATGTCCGAGTTTAGCTGGGACGTTAAATTCGCTGGCGTTCAACTCCTCGCTTCCATGGTTAGTATTCTTTTTATTTATTTTTTGGGTATCAATTACATACATAATTAAATTAAGAGTCCGGTCTGGTATGGTTAACTAATCAGGAAAATAAAACAGAGTTTACAAACGAACTAGCAAAATATTCCTAATTCTAACACTACGAGCCAAACAATCAACCTAAGATTTTCAACAAACATGGAATTAAAACCTTTTTTTATATTATTATTTAATTTAGTGAACTAATGTCTTCATAGGACTAACCTCTTATTTGATTAATTAAGCATATACACGGTCCAAATTCATATAGTTTAACTAGGCTCAAATTATTGCGTTTATGTGAAGAGACTACCAAGCTTTAACGTTCTGACGTTTGATTAGGTTATAACGCAAAGTAAGGTATTTCCCACCACACCTTACATATTCAACAACTACTCAAATACTTTCTCTTTGTATGCAACAATAAAAAATTTAAAATTAACAGTTTCTTTTTAAAAAGTTAGTTATAGAGCAGAAACAGAACCAAAAGTCACGTGCTTCTGTACATCTAAGCGGGTGCCTCTCTTTAAATGGCTCTGTTCTACGGCACGTGATTCTAAACCTACTTGCTTAAGCAATTTTCTTATGCATAGATGGTCAACGATATTTCAATCAAGTTTGTTTTTTTTTTTAAAGCAACATCACTACAATTTTAGGGATAAATGGGAAAACCATTTAGAAGTTCTAGACCAGTTTAAAAGAATTTTAGACTGTTTTGGTAATGTTTCTTTAAAAGTCTTGACCATATTCCTAATTTTGATATAAAAGTCTAGACTATCTTCACAATTCTCTTGATTTTACTTGAACCACAAATCAGGGAAACGTATTTGTTTCTCTTCTCAACTGAAATTTAAGTTGTCTTTCTAGTAATTCTCATTCATGGTTAATTTGTTGCCTCATTTTTCAGTTAATAAAAGAAGAAAAGCATAAGCAACATTCTAAAGTCATACAACAATACAAATCAAAGGCGGATCATTACCTATGCTCAATTCTCAACAAGAACATCAACGGCACAAATGTCCAACGAACTCCGGCCGGTTTACTCTACGTCCGGCAATGGAACAACATGCAGTACGTTTCCACCGCATCGTTCCTCTTAACCGTATATTCCGACCATCTCCGAAAATCAAACTCCGATCTGAACTGTCACGAAGGAACCGTAACTCCTGACGAGATGCTCGGGTTTGCGAAATCACAAATCGACTACATTTTGGGATCGAATCCGATGAAAACAAGTTATCTAGTTGGTTACGGTCCGAAATATCCGACTAGGGTTCATCACAGAGGTGCGTCCATTGCTTCTTATAAAGAACACAAAGGTTTCATTGGATGCACTCAAGGATATGATAATTGGTATGGACGGTCCGAGCCTAATCCAAGTGTTTTAGTTGGGGCTTTGGTCGGAGGACCTGACCACCTAGATGATTTTGTTGACAAGAGGGATAATTACGTTCAAACTGAGGCTTGTACGTATAATACTGCCCCTTTGGTCGGTGTGTTTGCGAGACTTATAGAGCTTGAGGAGCAAAAACTTGAAGAAGAAGATATGAGCTTGGTTGCAACTTATAAGAGATAGGTTATCAAAACACACAAAATTCCGAGTACAAACAAAGGAAAGAAAATGTGGTTTTATTTGCACCCATTTATCCATTTCTATATATAAATTTGTTGTGAGTTTTTGTTAGCAAATTTTCGAGTGAAAAGTGTGTATAAATATGAGTTTTTAATATAGTTCGATTAAAGTTCTTTTAGTCAAGTTTATAGTTCATGATTTGTTTACCCTTCGCGTAGTGTGGATGTAAATGACTTACATGACGTAGACTTTACTATAAAACGTAGCAAGAACTCGAGCAAAACCTTGAAGAAGTAAGCTTGATTGCAACATATATACTTAAGAGATAGGTTTAGCAACGAAAAGAGATAGGTTAAACATCCATTTGTCGTAATACAAAAAACATCTTTGGCCTTTGGCCTTTTTTAATAGAAAAGGAATACAAAAAAAACGCGGTTTTATTATCCATCCATTTGGCCTTTTTTATATGTTGTTGGAGTCTTTCTTCTCAACAATTTAACACAGAAAGTGTATAGTTTTTTTTTTTTTTTGTCGTAAGTGTATAGTTTTTTCTTATTAATATAGAGTCCAAAATTAGTCGATTTTATTCGCAGAAAAAGGGTCTTGTGGAAGTAATTGGGTTACACGGCGTCGTTTTTAGACTGCACTTTAAACGACGCTGTATTTAGCAAGAAAATTAGCCTTCGTCTTCTTGGCAAAGAAAAGATTATGAAAGAAAGTACAAATCCCGCCCAAATTGGGGACGAAAACCTATCTTCGACAATGGATGATCGGGCGAAACGAATCTGCGATGAGTGTGGAGTTTCTCGAGAAGAAGCAATCTATTACCTCGACGGATTCCTATGGGATGTGGATGCAGCGATAGAGGCTTGCCGCAGCCAAACCTTGCAGCTTCCGTCGCTCACTCTTGAATCTTCGCCGGGGAACGAGAAATCCGCGCCGGAGGCTCCGTATAAACCGCCATTGATGACCGATTCACGCCCGAGTTCGAGTCAGCCGCCGAATCAATTGAGAAATGAACTTATCAAATCGTTCTGCGAAGCGGCTTTTGGTTTTGGAGCGACTGTAGAAGAGGCAATCCAGTACCTCGAACGCAGAGATTGGGATCCGAACAAAGCCTTTAACTGTTTCTTTGAAGAGCGTCGTCGAACGCCTTCTCAAAGGAAGTCGAATCCGCAGACTTATCGTCCGACGACTGGGCGATCGAATACGAAGCTGACGATTGGGCGATCGAATTCGCAGGACGCATCTCCATTGATGGGATTGGCATCGAGTTCGCAGTCGTATCAGAAGGGGTTCTCTGGGGATAAAGCATCCATGGCGGAGGCGAAATCGGAGTTGATGCAGGACTTTTTGAGGAGATTACCTCTACCATCGCAGTTTCAAAATCACTTGACAGAAGGCCAAAGCAGGTAAATTTTCTTTTGTGATACATCTCCAACAAGTTCCGAAAATGTTTTTGGGTTTTCTTTCTGATTCTGGTGATTTCTTTTTTGATTTAGGGTTTAGTGTATTTTTCTGGTTCTTTGTCTCGACTGTGAATTATAAATGTTGTTTTCTTGATCGATATACACTCATCATATCCTTGTAAATTGTTGGTTTCTAGATTATTATTCCTGCGTATGAGTCTATTTCTCTAAATTTCCATATCTGAATCTTTTTATTTTGCTTTACTTGTACAGTGGGAAGGAGGTTGATCCGACAGGGTCACTCGAAGAAGGCGGTGGAGAATATATCCCTGAAGCTAGACCTCTAATGGCGTCAACTCATGTGAAGGTATTAATCTTTTCTTTCTCTGCACTATATACATACTATTGGCTTGCTGTTTTCTCAAATTGTGTTTGCTAAAAGATAAAGCTCAAAACTATAACCTCGAAATGAAGAATTGGAACCTTTTAGTTTTACATTAGGAGTTAACAAGCTATACTCTCTTTGATGGTCTTTCTTTGAGTTTCCCTTCTCTGTTTCTGTTTTGACTGTTCATAATTCAGATTCAAGATATTCAGGAAAGTACAAGTCTCGCCCAAATCAAGGAAGGAACCCTTTCGCCGCCGATGGTGAGCGAGGAATCCCCTGAGGCTCAGCCATCGCCAACGGTGAGCAATTTAAGTATGAGTTCTGGTCAGCTTCCGGATTCGCCTGAACAACCGTGTCAACTGAAACGGGAATATATCGACTCATTCTGCGAAGTGGCTAATGGAGCGTCTCCAAAAGAGGCAATCGCTTGCCTCAATCGCTGCAAGGGGAATCTAGTAGACGCCATCAGCTATTTCTTTGAAAATGGGTCGTCTCAAATGGGTGTATGCAACCTTCTCTTTCTGTGTACTATTTACTTGCTAAAAGCTTTAAACTCAAGACAGAACCTAGCAATGAACAAAAGCATTGTGGATCATAGTTACATAAGGAGCAAACATTCTATTATGTCTTGATGGTCTTTCTTTGGATTGGTCTTGTCTGTTTTCTTACTATAGTTTAAAAAGAAGGGAACTAAATGTTGTTGATTACACCGTATTAATCTGAAGGGTAAGGCTGTTGACCAATATTCAAGCGCAGAGTCACTGAAAGAAGCTGGCAGTGAACATAATCCGCTAATGGCGTCACCTCAAGTGAAGGTAGTATTCTTATCTGTCTCTGCACTATATACTATTGTCTTGCTGTTTTCTCGATTTGTCTTTGCTGAAAGCTAAAGCTCTAAACAGAACCTAGGAATGAAGGATATGAATATTTTAGTTTCTACATAAGGCGTTAACAACTTATATCTCTTATGTTCCTTGTCTGTTTTTCTCAAGATAGTTTAAAAAGAAGGGAACTCTTAATGTTGATGCATACACTGCCTGCATTTTTCCATTCAGATTCAGAATATTCAGGAAGAAACCCTTTCGCCCGTCGAGGCACGGCCGCCATTGATGATCCATTCACGTAGGAGTTCGAATCAGCTGCAGAATTCACCGGAGAAAGTGTCTCAATTGAATAATAAACTCATAGATTTATTCCTAGAGGCGGCGGGTGGATTTACTCGAGACGAAGCAATCGCTTACCTTAGACTCTGCAACTGGGATGTAAACCAAGCCGTCGGCTGTCTCATAGAAGATGATCCGTATGAGGAAGAAACATCGGATGTTCAGGCTTCACATGGTTCCCAAAATCAAGGTTACTTGGAAGAAGACGAAACCGGGAGCTTTTCTAGTTCTAGGTGAGTCTCCTTTTTTTGTCTCCAACAAGTATGGAATGTTGGTTTCTAGAGTATGCTTAGCCTCACTATCCTGTCCTGTCAGGATCGCTAAACTTCCATATCTAAACTTGTGCAGTCCGATTAATGCTGGCTCGAGCGAGACAGGAAACGTCACCGTAGCTATTCCTGGAAATGTGTCGTCTCACGTGGAAGTAGTATGTGTAACCTTCTCTCTCTCTCTCTTTCTCTGCGCAATATTTGACTATGGTCTTGCTTGTTTCTCGAATTGTGCATGATAAAAGCTTTAAGCTCAAAAACAGAACCTGGCATTGTGGATCATAGTTACATTAGGAGTCTAACATTCTTTTATCCCTTGATGGTCTCTGTTTTCTTAAGATAGCTTTTAAAAAAGAAGGGAAGTCAATGAATGTTGATACTTGATACAGTGCTTGCTTGCGTTTCTCCATTTTTCCTTATGAGTATTTTTATATGAGCAGGAAAATTTGAAGGATAATGGTGTTGAAGAAGATTCAAGCACGGAGATAACCCATGTTCCTATTACTACTACAATAGAAATCTGGATGGCTGATGGTGGGTCCGGGACACAGGCATGGATTCCTTTTAGATCAGACCAAACCGTCAGAGACATCCGCAATAGTGTTGAAGCGCTAAGTCCAGCAGCTAACAACAGAGACTACTATTTCAAGTCTGATACTGGAGTTGAGTACAAGGATTTGAATACAACTGTGCACACTATTACTTCTGGTTCTCGTGGTTCTACAACACTCCACCAGTTGTACTACACTTAGCTTTTTGGGTTTGTACAGGTTCCATTCATTGATGAAATACGAAGAGAGACAGAGAGATGTACATGACTTTTGAAATGATTCTGCCTTGTATAGAAAGGAAAAAAAAAGAACAGAGGAGCTTTATACATGTTTTGACATAGGAAATGATAAGGAGAGACTTATAGCTTTGACTTTGTATTGTTACTTCGATTGATGAAACATAGAGAGCACTGAAACAACCGTTTTTTCATTAAACTTTACAAACAGAGCTTACTTTTTCTTTGAACCTTAGCTTACTAAAGACCTATACTTGCAATACGGCTCGGTGTGTTTGCAAGACTTATGGAGTTTGAGGAGCAAAAACCTAAAGAAGAAGGAGATGTGAGTTTGGTTCCCACATATAATTAAGAGTTAGGTTAAAAAAAGTTGAATACACAAAAAAGGAATTTGGCCATTTCTGTATATTAAACAATATTGTTGGAGTTTTTCTCATCTCAACAAATTTATTTATTAAAAATAAAAAAGTGTGTAAAATAATTGTTTTTTATGTATTATATAAAATAAGTGAGTATATGTATGTTTATATGTATATATATATATATATATTATTTAATTTGGAAGAGAAGGAAGTGAGAAAGGGACGAGAGGTAAGTGGGAGAGAGAAGATTGATGAGTGTTTCTTATTTCACTCGTCTGAAAGTTGATTTCTTTACATAACATGAAGGTCTATTTATAGACCAAGAGAAAACTTATAATAATAAAAGTAAGTCGGTAAGAGTAAATATCTAAAAGTATAAGACGGTGAAAAAGTGATGAGGATAATTATCCTTTTTAACACTCCCCCTTAATTATCCATCATCGTTAACGTATTACGTATTGCCTCGTTAAAAACCTTATCATGGAAAAACCCAATGGGATAAAAACCATGACAAGGAAAAAAGAGTACAATAACGTAATCTCCTCCTGGAATGATGGATATAACGTTTTCTCTTCATAAATCCCGCAAATAACGCATTCCGATACTTTGAATATGCTTTCTGAATACTGTAGTAGGAAGCGCCTTTGTAAAGAGATCCGCCGCATTTTCACATGAACGAACATACTGGATATCGACTTCTTGATTCTTCTCGAGCTCTTGAGTATAAGAGAAAAATCTTGGAGGAATATGTTTCGTTCTATCACTCTTGATATAGCCTTCTTTTAGTTGAGCAACACATGCAGCATTATCTTCGAACAATCTTGTCGGTTTTTTGTTAATGGCTATTCCACTTGCTTCTTGTATATGATGAGTCATAGATCTGAGCCATACACATTCTCTACATGCTTCATGAAGCGCAATAGTTTCTGCATAATTTGAAGAAGTGGCGACTAATGTCTGCTTTTGAGAACGCCAAGAGATTGCGGTTCCTCCAAACGTAAAAACATATCCAGTTTGCGATCTAGCTTTATGAGGATCTGCTAAATAACCTGCATCTGCAAAACCGACTAAACCAAGTTTGGAGTTTCTAGGGTAAAACAATCCCAAGTCAATTGTTCCTTGAAGATAACGGAATATATGTTTTATTCCATTCCAATGTCTGCGCGTAGGAGACGAACTATATCTTGCCAGTAAATTTGTAGCAAATGCTATATCCGGTCGGGTACAATTTGCAAGATACATAAGTCCACCAATAGCGCTCATATAAGGTACTTCAGGACCTAATATTTCTTCGTTATCTTCACAAGGTCGAAACGGATCTTTTTTCGTATCGAGAGATCGATTAACCATTGGAGTACTCAAAGGAGTCGCTTTATCCATACAAAAGCGTTTTAATATCCTTTTAGTATAATTTGATTGATGTATGAATACTCCATCTCGGAAATGCTCTATTTGTAATCCAAGACAAAATTTTGTCTTTCCGAGATCTTTCATTTCGAACTCTTCTTTCATATGAGTTCTTGCATCATCAATCTCTTTTTGAGTTCCAATAATGTTCAGGTCATCCACATAAACAGCAATGATCACGAATCCTGACGAAGATTTCTTAATAAAAACGCAAGGGCAGATTGCATTATTCACATACCCTTTCTTTAGTAAATATTCGCTTAAGCGATTATACCACATGCGTCCGGATTGTTTTAATCCGTAAAGTGATCGCTGTAACTTGACTGAACATATTTCTTTCGATTTGGAACTTAATGCTTCAGGCATTTTCAATCCTTCAGGGATTTTCATATAGATATCATTATCAAGTGATCCATATAAATATGCTGTCACAACATCCATAAGATACATTTCAAGATTTTTGGATGCCGCAAGACTCATTAAGAATCTGAATGTAATTGCATCCATAACCGGAGAATAAGTTTCTTCATAATCAATTCCCGGTCTTTGAGAAAATCCTTGGGCGACAAGTCGGGCTTTATATCTTGTCACCTCATTTTTTTCATTTCTTTTTCTCACAAAAACCCATTTGTACCCAACCGGCTGTACATCTTTAGGTGTTGTAACAATCGGTCCAAAAACTTTCCTTTTATTAAGGGAGATCAATTCAGTTTCTACGGCCATTTTCCATTTCTCCCAATCAGATCTTTTCTGGCATTCTAATATGGACCTTGGATCTGGATCATCAATTTCATATTCAATTTCTTTGCATACAGAGAATGAAAATATTCCATCATTATCTTCTATTTCATCTCTAGCCCATAATATCCCATCTTGGGCATAATTGATGGAAATCTCATGATTTTCTTCGTCATTTTCGTCTTCAAGACCTTTCTCTGTATGTGGTTCTTCTGGACCATTTTCATTTTGTTTTCCCAATTTCTTTTTCTTTCGGGGATTTTTATCCTTTGATCCAATCGGCCTCCCCCTCTTTAACTGAACTTTGGGTTCATTTGCTATTTTTCCATCATTTTGTTCTTCCGGAACATTAATTCTCGATGGAACATTTGCAGCGGGTATATATGACTTTGTCACCCTTTTCGTATCTGTGAATGCATCTGGTATTTCATTTGCCATATTTTGTAAATGAACAATTTTCTGAACTTCGAGTTCACGTTGTTTCGTAGGGGGATCAAGGTGCAACAAAGATGGTGTGCACCATGTAACATCTTTTGGAACTTCTTTAATTCCTCCCCCTAACGCTGGAAATTCATCTTCATTAAAATGGCAATCGGCAAAACGTGCCGTAAACATATCACCAGTTTGCGGTTCAAGACACCTAATTATACTCGGTGACGTATAACCGATATATATTCCCAATCTTCTTTGCGGCCCCATTTTTAATCTTTGTGGCGGGGCTATCGGAACATAAACCGCACACCCGAACACACGCAGGTAAGATACATTTGGCTCCTGGCCAGATGCTAATTGTATTGGGGAATATTTATTATATGAACTCGGTCTTATCTGAAGCAATGCCGCTGCATGCAAGATAGCATGACCCCATACTGAAATTGGGAGCTTTGTTCTCAATATTAACGGTCTAGCAATGAGTTGTAACCGTTTAATCAATGACTCAGCCATGCCGTTTTGTGTATGAAAATGTGCAACAGGATGTTCAACATCAATTCCCAATGACATACAATAATCATTAAAAGCTTGGGAAGTGAATTCACCAGCGTTATCAAGTCTTACTTTCTTTATCATATAATCAGGGAACTGTGCTCTCAACCTGATTATTTGGGCAATGAATTTTGCGAAAGCCGTATTACGTGTTGTCAATAAACACACATGTGACCATCTACTGGATGCGTCAATTAATACCATAAAATATCGAAATGGCCCGCATTGTGGGTGAATAGGCCCACATATATCACCATGTATTCTCTCTAGGAATACTGGAGATTCATTCCCGATTTTAGTTGGTGATGGCCGAGTTATAAGTTTTCCTTGAGAACAAGCATTACACATAAATTCTCCCGATTGAAAAATCTTCTGGTTTTTCAACGGATGGCCATTAGAATTTTCCACAATTCTCCGCATCATGACTGAACCAGGGTGCCCTAATCGTTCATGCCAGATTTTAAATGTACTTGTAAACTTCGGGTTTACAGTAACATATGATTCAGTCATATTTATCTTTGTGGAATATATTCCGGAGGATAATGCTGGTAATATTTCCAGTACAACTTTTCTCTCCGAAATAACTGATGTAATGCAAAGATATTCAATGCCGTTCTTATTCATAGTTTCTATGTGATATCCATTTCTGCGGATATCTTTGAAACTTAACAAATTTCTGTAAGATCCAGGGGAATATAACGCATCATTTATTTCAAACTTTGTTCCCCTTGGCATTGAAAAACTGACTCTTCCGGAGCCCATAATAATTTTTGCATTACCAGATATTGTATTCACGCTTCCAGCGGAATCTTTCATATTTAGAGAGGAGAAATATTTTTTATCTTTTAATATTGTGTGCGTTGTCGCACTGTCTGCCAGACATATATCTCCATCCTTGATCTTAATCTCTGACATTTTCTGAATTCAAGATATTTATAAAAGATAAATTAATATAGCAAACAAAAGAGTCTATATTATAATAAAAACCTATTTACAACAAAAGATACATTTTTTTTAAACATTATATTTTACATTTTTATTTGTCACACTATGTATACATCATGTCACATCTTCTTCTTCGAGAAGATTTTACTCGTTTTGTTTTTCGTTGATATCTTCGGGATCAACGATGAAATCAGATATATCGAGATTTGTATCATCGTTTATACCATCAAACGAAAAACTGGATTCACCATGGATGAAGTTGGTTTCACTTTCTTTTCCTTTCGCCTTTTGCGATTCTTGGTACAGATCGGCTAAATGTTTTGGCGTACGACAGGTACGAACCCAATGTCCTTTCATGCCGCATCTGTAGCAAGCACTCTCATGTTGCTTGCGACCAACTTCATTACCCTTGAACTTTTTGTTATTTCTTCCATCGTTTAAATCAGCAGGACGGAATCTTCTTCCTCGTCCACGACCTCGACCACGTCCAAAACCTCGTCCACGACCACGATCATTTCCGCGACCGCGTCCACATCCACTTTGCCAATTTTCATGGCTTGACGATGCAACATTCACTTCTGGGAATGAAGCTGATCCAGTTGGACGAGATTGATGGTTTAAAATCACGAGTTCATTATTTTGTTCTGCCACCAAGAGAACTTGCATTAACTCCGAATAATTCTTGTATCCGTTTGCCCGGTACTGTTGCTGCAGGACTACGTTTCCAGGATGAAATGTTGAGAGAGTTTTCTCAATCATATCATGATCACTTATATTTTCTCCACACAACATTATCCTGGAAGTGATTCCAAATAGAGCGGAGTTATACTCACTAACGCTCTTATAGTCTTGGAACCGGAGGTTCAACCACTCATGTCTAGCCTTTGGTAAGATCACATATTTCTGGTGATCAAACCTATCTTGGAGTGATTGCCAAAGATCTGCAGGATCTTCTTTCATGATATATTCATCTTTTAAACCATCATGGATATGGTGGAATAAAAAGATCATGGCTTTCGCCTTTTTCTCTTCAGGAACTGTTTTTGTTTTATCGATGGTATCAAGGAGCTCATTTCCTTTTAAATGCATCCTTGCAGCTACTGCCCATCTCATATAATTTCTTCCAGAAATATCAAGGGCAGTAATCTCGAGTTTTGTCAAATTCGACATGATAACTGTTATCAATACAATAATTTATAAATTTCAGTTTCAAAAATTCTGATTTTAATAAAACATGATAAAATTTTAGAATTCATAAACGTAATAAAAACTGAATTTAAAATACTGAATTTAAAGTAATAATAAACAGAAATTAAATAACAGTAATTAACAGAATTTAAAGAACAATAATTAAAATAAATATTCGTCTTCTGGACGAAATTAATTATGCAGTTCTTCAGGAACGCTTTTATATATCTTCTGGATATATATTTTTTTATATAGTTCTTCTGGAACTATTCTTTTTCATATGTCTTCTGGACATATTTTTCTTTCAAGTATGTCTTCTAGACATAACATGTTTTTCTTAGTTCTTCAAAAACTTTTCTTAAATGTCTTCTGGACATTTATTATATGGAGGTAATGATCTGAGGAGTCAACTACTATATGATCATAAACCAACCATATATTTGATCTGAGGAGACATAGTCTACCATATGATCATGATCGTAAAGGCATAGCCTCCATGACGATCGGTTCGGAGAAGGCAGCGCCTATCATCCCGACCATAGAATATAAACATAAAAGTAGACGGATTGATCATAAATTAAACCTCACCTTTTCGGTATAGGAACGGTATAAGAACGGTTCGTGCTGATAACGTTTTATGTATTATATAAAATAAGTGAGTATATGTATGTTTATATGTATATATATATATATATATTATTTAATTTGGAAGAGAAGGAAGTGAGAAAGGGACGAGAGGTAAGTGGGAGAGAGAAGATTGATGAAGAGTGTTTCTTATTTCACTCGTCTGAAAGTTGATTTCTTTACATAACATGAAGGTCTATTTATAGACCAAGAAAAAACTTATAATAATAAAAGTAAGTCGGTAAGAGTAAATATCTAAAAGTATAAGATGGTGAAAAAGTGATGAGGATAATTATCCTTTTTAACATTGTTAAAGTTTTTAAAGTGTTTTTTCATCTTGACTTAACAAATCACAAATGTCAAGAATTTGAAGAATACAAGTTTTTCATTTGGCCATTTCGGTTTATTGGTTAAATGTTAGAACGGACTCTTCTTGTCAGTGTGTTTCTGGTTTATTGTTGTTACTTACCATTTTACCCCTCGCGTCCTGTGGATACAATTGCGTGATTCGACATCGTTTTGGCAAAGAAAATGATCCCTCGTCTTCTTGGCAAAGATTCTAAAAAAAAGAGAGTAGAAAGTCCCGCCCAAATTGGGGACGAACACCTTTCGCCGACGATGGACGGTCGGGCGACACGAATCTGCGATGCGTTAGGAGTTCCTCGAGAAGAAGCATTCTATTACCTCGAAGTATACCGAGGGGATGTGGACGCAGCCATAGAGGCTTGCCGGAGCAAAACGTTGCCGCTGCCGCTGCCGCTGCCGTCACCAACGGTTCAATCTTCGCCGGGAAACGAGAAATCCGCGTCGGAGGATCGGAGTTCGAATCAGTCGCCGGGTCCGCAGGAGGAACAACCGCCTCAATCGAGACCTGAACTTATCAAATGCCGTTCAACGCCTTTTCAAATGCAGTCTAATCGGCCGGTTTATCCTCCGCCGGTTGCGCGATCGAATGCGCCGCTGAAGATTGGGCGGTCGCATCCGCAGTACACATCTGCTTTGACGGGATTGGTGCCGGAGGGGTTGATGCAGAACATAGGTCAATGGATGGATTCATTTCAATTGACACCAGTCCAAATCAGTAGCTCTTCTTCTTCTCGGTAATTTTGCTATTTTGCGATTTTGTCTCCAGGAAGTGCTGATTGGTTTCGTTGGGGTTTTCTTTCTGATTTGATTAATCTTCTTGTGGTGGATTTCTTGATTTTGGGTTCAGTACCTATTTGGCTTCTGTGTTTTGAGCGCTGGAAAATCACAATGTGGTTTCTAGATTTTGAATTTTTTTTCGCCGTTTCCTTACTCGTATAGTGCGATGGAGTTTGACCCGCCAGAGTCACTCAACGGAGCTGGTGAAGATAATTTCCTTCAAGCTATATCTCAATTGAAGGTAGTATTTCTTATCTTTCTCTGCACTACATACTACTGTCTTGCTATTTTCTCTGTTGATGGTCTTTCTTTGAGTTTCCCTGTCTGTTTTTGTTGAAAAAAGAATGGTACTCAAATGTTGATGCATATTTCTTTCAGTTTCAAAACACTCAGGAAAGTGGAAACCCCACACAAACCAGTGAAGAAAACCTTTGGCCGCCGAGGGATGTTTGGGTTGATCGAATCTGCAATGCAGCATCAGTGTCTCGAGAGGAAGCACTCTTTTACCTTGAGGGATTCAATTGGAATTTTGATACGGCGATGGAGGCTTGCCGCACAAAAACCTTGCCGCCTGTCAATGAAACTGCTGAGGAGACGGCGAAACTGGAGCTGCCTGAGGAATTCGCGGAAAGCGTTATGGTTCTAACTTGCGAGTCCAACGACGAAGGTGGATCTTGCGATGTATATTTGATTGGCACTGCTCATGTTTCACAGGTATACTGTATACTCTTTAAAAATTGAAACTTGGTGAATGGTTTGTGGTTTTGTTGAAATGTTGGAATTGAAAATGAAGAACTTTCATCAAAGATTAGATTTTTCTTTAATTAGCTTGGATTGGTTGTGTATAAGCATGGAAAATGATAACACATTGAACTTTGCTTGATGAAACTATAACATATTAGCATTCATATGCATTTGATAGTTGTCTTAACCTTTGCTTTTTTTTTTTGTTTATTTTATAGGAATCTTGCCGACAAGTTGAAGCTATTGTCAGCTTCATGAAACCACAGGTTCTTCTCCTTTAAAGTTCATTAAGGAGTGAGCTATTTATATCTCTTTCTCTGTTTAAGTACGTGGCTGATGATTGCAGGTCGTTTTCGTGGAGCTTTGTCCACGTCGATTGTCTGTTCTCACACCTCAGGCTTTGAAGGTTTGCTTCTACATGATTCTTATAACATGTCCAGTTTCAGTATACATCACATCTTAGCATTTTATGATCATCTAACAGTGTAGTATCCTGCGAAAGATTGCGCATCATCTTTGCTTCTTTTGCTAGAGAAGATGATAATTATTTTTGGTGTCTCTGTTTATGATTTAAACAGAGGATGGCCAAATTTTCTATTGGAATTACTAAGTATGAGCTGCTGGTTGGAAATTATTTTCCTAGAGAATGTACTTCACTTGTTTTATATGCAATGATATAGCTCACATACTTATTTTGTCTGGCTCTTCTATCCATTGATTCTGGAAAGGTGCGATGTTTTGGTTTTCCAGGTTCCGACCATGTCGGAAATGATAGACATGTGGAAGGAGAATCACAACACATTCGGAATAGCTTACGAATGGTTTCTTGCAAAGGCATGTTTCCTCAGTTTAGACCTTCTTTGATGGTAGGTTAAATTTTCCGTACCAATAATTTAATCCTTTTCTTATGTTAGATCGCCAGCAAGCTTGACGTTTTACCTGGTGCTGAGTTTCGTGTGGCATATGAGGAGGCAAACAAATATGGTGGCAAGGTGATTCTAGGTGACCGTCCAGTACAGGTGACTTTGGTGATTCAATAATATGTGTTCATAGTCTTAAGCCTTTCTTCGGTTTTCAATCAGTGTTTCACTGAGTATTCATTTTTCTTTTCGGATTTGTTGAAGTAGATCACGTTAACGAGAACATGGGCTAAAATGCCTCTATGGCACAAAGTAAAGTTTTTGTGCAGCTTAGTGTCTCAAGCTGTCTTTCTCCTGAGCCCTGAGAAACTTGAGAAGATGGTAAAAATCTTTGTTTCTTTTTTTCCGTTTAAGATTATGTGATTCAGTCAAGTGTATATATTAAGGTGGTGATTATATCGTATGGTTTTCAGCTGAAAGATATGAACGATGTGGATACGCTAACATTGGTGATTCAAGAAATAAGCAAGGAATTTCCATCTCTCATGGAGACACTTGTGCATGAGCGAGATAAGTTAGTATTGTATTCCTCTATCTATATTTATAGTTCATCAGATTAATTGGCCGCTTTGTCTGAAGCTTGGGTTATCAGTATTTCTGTAAAATGTGTATCTTGTTTGACATTTCTTGAAACCCAAAACGTCTCTCCTGAAGTTCTAAGCACGATGATTATGATAGTAGTCTTCGTTGTTTTCCACCTTTCAAGCTCTTCTTTCTCTTAAGTTGTTAGTTAGCAATCTTAAAACATTCAAAGTCAACAATATATCCAGAAATTTTCTTGATCTTTTAGCAAAATGTTGCATTATATCTCAGGTACATGGCATCTATGTTGTTAAGAGTTGCAAGTGAGCATAGCTCGGTGGTAGCAGTTGTTGGTAGAGGGCATCTTCAAGGGATCAAGAAGAACTGGAACCAACCTATTAATGTTAGTCGTCTCAATCTTTTCAATCTCGATTTCATTATACATATGACTTATTAAGGTTCTTGTATTTCAGATGAATGATCTGTTGGAGTTGCCGACGAAAGAATCCATTTTTAGTGTAAAGAAAATTCTGAAATCTCTGGCGATTGTAGTTGCCGGGGCAGCCATAGCTTCCCGCATATATCTTGCAACCAGAAGTTAAATCATCTCAAGGCAGAGATAGTTTCTCATGAGAACAAAAAGGAAAAAAGTTAGACGCAATAACAGATGATTTACACAAAATTACTTCTGGTTCTCGTGGTTCTACAACTCTTCACCAGTTGTACTACACTTAGCTTTTCGGTTTTGTACAGTTTCCATTCATTGACGAAACACGTAGAAAGAGAGAAAGAGATGTACATCACTTTAGAAATGATTCTTGCCTTGTATAGAAAGTAAAAAAGAAAAGAACATAACAGCTTTATACTGTACATGTTTTGATATAGGAAATTGATACGGAGAGAGTCGAGAGACTTCTTATAGCTTTGACTCTGTACTGTTACTACGATTGATGAAACATAGAGAGCACTGAAACAACCATTTTGTCTCCTCTGTAACTTCATTAAACTTTACAAAACAGAGCTTACTTTTTTTTGTGAACCTTACCTTACTTTACTTATACTTACAATAAGTCCAAACTGCTCAATGTGTTTGCAAGACTTATGGAATTTGAGGAGCAAAAACTTGAAGAAGAAGATGTGAGTTGCCACATATAATTAAGAGTTAGGTTTAGAAAATGGAATACAAAAAGAAGAAGGCAAACATGGTTTTATTTGGGACCCATTTGACCATTATTGGAGGAGTTTTATCTCAACAAAAAATTTATTTCAAACAAATTTATTGTATGACAAATTTATTTCAAATAAACACTTACCATTTTACCCCTCCCGTCTTGTGGATATAATTGCGTGATTCGACATCGTTTTGGCATAGAAAATTATCCCTCGTCTTCTTGGCAAAGATTCTGAAAAAGAAGAGTAGAAAGTCCCGCCCAAATTGGGGACGAACAGCTTTCGCCGACGATGGACGATCGGGCGACACGAATCTGCGATGCGTTAGGAGTTTCTCGAGAAGAAGCATTCTATTACCTCGAAGCATACCGAGGGGATGTGGACGCAGCCATAGAGGCTTGCCGGAGCAAATCGTTGCCGCTGCCGCTGCCGTCACCAACGGTTCAATCTTCGCTGGGAAACGAGAAATCCGCGTCGGAGGCTCCGGATATACCGCCATTGATGACCGATTCAGATCAGAGTTCGAATCAGCCACCGGGTCCGCAGGAAGAACAACCGCCTCAATCGAGACCTGAAAAAATCAAAGCATTCTGCGAAGCGGCTCTTGGAGCGAGTCTAGATGAGGCAGTGCGATACCTAGAACGCAGAAAGTGGAATATACAAGAAGCCGTCGGCGATTTCTTTGACGAGTGCCGTCCAACGCCTTCTCAAAGGAAGTCTAATCGGCCGGTTTATCCTCCGCCGGTTGGGGGATCTAATGCGCCGCTGACGATTGGGCGGTCGCATCCGCAGGACGCATCTGCTTTGACTGGATTGGTACCGGAGGGGTTGATGCAGAACGTAGGTCAATGGATGGATTCATTCAAATTGACACCAGTCCAAATCAGTAGCTCTTCTTCTTCTCGGTAATTTCTTTTGCTATTTTGCGATTTTGTCTCCAGAAAGTGTTGATTGGTTTCGTTAGGGTTTTCTTTCTGATTAGATTTATCTTCTTGTGGTGGATTTCTTGATTTTGGGTTTAGTGTCTATTTGGATTCTGTGTTTTGAGCGCTGGAATATCACAATTTGGTTTCGAGATTTTGAATATTTTTTCTCCGTTTGCTTACTCGTATAGTGCGATGGATTTTGACCCGTCAGAGTCACTCAACGGAGCTGGTGTAGAACAAGAACATTTCCTTGAAGCTATATCTCAATTGAAGGTAGTATTTCTTATCTTTCTCTGCACTACATACTACTGTCTTGCTATTTTCTCGAATGGTGTTTTGATAATATCTAAAGCGCAAAACATTATCTCTTGATGGTCTTTCTTTGAGTTTACCTTCTCTGTTTTTGTTGGAAAAAAGAATGGTACTCAAATGTTGATGCATTTTCTTTCAGTTTCAAAACACTCAGGGAAGTGGAAACTCCACACAAACCAGTGAAGAAAACCCTTCGCCGCCGAGGGATGCTGTTGATCGAATCTGCAATGCAGCATCAGTGTCTCGAGAGGAAGCACTCTTTTACCTTGAGGGATTCAAGTGGGAGTTTGATACGGCGATGGAGGCTTGCCGCACAAAAACCTTGCCGCCCGTCAATGAAACTGCTGAGGCGCCGCCTACTTTGCAGCCTCAATCCATTAATGAACAACTCATCTCGCAGCGTCAATCCAATAATGAACAACTCATCCGTTCATTCCAAGTCGTGGCTGTTGGAACGACTAGAGAAGTAGCAATCGCTTACCTTGAAGCCTGTGGTTGGGATGTAGACCAAGCCGTCAGCTTTTGCATTGAAGGGTCCTCAGTGGAAGAAGCATATTCGGCGAGTATTATGAGTTTAATGAAGACGAAAGATGCACTTCATTCATTGAAGGGATCATTACCTTCACAGTCACAGTTTGAGGCTTCATGTAGCCAAATAGGAAGCTCTTCTAGGTGATTTTCTTGTCTTTATCTTTCTTCTTCCTTTTTTCACGTGCGGTCTTGTCTCTAACAAGTTTTGGAATAGTCCCGTAGATGTTGGTTTATAGAGTAATGCTTAGTATGAGTCTATCTCCTGTCCTTTGGGATCGCTCAACTTCCCTTTCTGAATATATATATATTTTTTTTCCGCCATTCGCTTACTTTTACAGTTCGATTAATGCTTGCCCGACCGAGACACAAGTGTCACGTGAAGAGGCTGGTGAAGATAAGGTCACAGTGGCTATTCCTGGAATGGGGTCGTCTCACGTGGATGTATGTAACATTCTCTTCCTCTGCACTTTTTTCTTTTGTTACTATGGTCTTGCTTGTCTCCTCGAATTGTGATTGCTAAAATCTAAGCTCAAAACAGAAGCAGGCAATGTGGATATTAGCATTACATAAGGAGTTTACATTCTATGATGTCTTGATGGTCTTTCTTTGGCTTGGCCTTTTCTGTTTCTTTCAGATAGTTTTAAAAGAAGTGAACACAATGCTGTTGTCTTGTTGATACACTGCTTGCATTAGTTTTAAAAGAAGGGAACTCAATGTTGTTGATACACTGCTTGCATTTCTCCAATTTCCAATCTGAGTATTTTGGTTTCTTAACTTTAAAGGGTAACGCTGTTGAGGAAGTTTCAAGCACGGAGACATTCCCTGATCCTTTTGCCATCCAAGACAGGACAATTGTGGGGGCTCCAACTGCACCAACTACTATTACAGTATCTATCGTCTTGGCCGATGATGGGTCTGGGGCATCGATAGATCTTCCTTTTAGATCAAACCAAACCGTAAGAGACATACGCAATGCTATTGACGAGCGAACACCAGAGAACGACAGAGACTACTATTTGCAATCAATGACTGGAGTAGAATACAAGGATATGGATACTACTGTACACAGAATTAACCAGGGTGGTTCTACAATTCTCCTTCAGGTCTACCCCGATCCGTAGCTTTGGTTTTGTACAGTTTCCACCGATTGATAAAACAGAGAGAAAAGATATATATTGATTGACTTTAAAACAGGAATCTCGCCTTGTATAGAAAGAAGAAAAATAGAACAGAGCACAGCTCCATACTTGTTTTGAGTTTAGGGAAGTATAAACGGCAAATGTATATGAATACACAGACATGAGGAACTGCTTTATTACTAGACAATCAACCACTCGATAGACACTCAAAGATAAAAACGGGTTATCTTGTCGAGCCACTCCGGCTTGTATGACGCAATCACTTGACCTATTGCTAATCCAAACAACACCCCAGGAGCATATCCTATAGCCACTGCTTTCCAATTCAACACCTCTCCTTCTTCTTCTTGCTTCACGTCTTGTATCGATGGCACACTAGTGCCTACGCAACTTTCCTGGAGAGGAAGACCACAAAGCCCTGCATTACCTTCGAAGGAGGATTTAGGTTGCCCAGTGATTTGTGTTCCTTGTGGTATTTCACCAGTGAGTTGGTTGTGAGACACATTTATGTACGCCAAAGACGAGAGGGTCTTGATTCCATTAGGAATATTCCCTAATAGTTGGTTTCTTGACAGGTCTAGTGACGCGAGTTCCGTAAGGTTTTCCAAAGACAGAGGAATCTGTCCTGTGAATGCGTTGTTCGATAAGTTGAGTGCAATCAATGCCTTCAAGAGACCAATGGACTCAGGAATCTGTCCTTGAAGTTTGTTCCCTGAAAAATCAATGGTTGCGTAGGAAGTAAGGACCTTGGCTTGCTCCATGGTTAGACCTTTGTATCTCAAATCTATAGCATCTTCGTAGAAATAGTAACCATTTATGGAAACTGAAGTTTCCTTTTTGTATCCCATGTATATACTCCCATCTTCATTCATCTGCAGTGATGATGATCTCCAGTTCACAAAGTAATTTGGTGACAAGCTTCCGGTAAAGTTGTTATCCGATATTTCGAATATGTGCAGCTCGGGAAATGCGAGAGGACCTTTATCAAGAGGAGAGACAGGACCAAAGAATCTGTTTGAACGGAGGACAAGGACTTGTAAGTTTGGTAAAGCCTTGAGCCAGAAAGGAAACGTGTCTTCGATTTGGTTGTTCTCAACGTTTAGAAACTTTAGAGAAGAGCAGTTTAGAAGAGACCTTGGAAGCTTTTCGGTTAGTTGATTGTAGCCAACGTCAAGTGTCCGAAGCGAGGAACCTTCATAGAACATATCTGGGAGACTTCCTTCCAGATTGTTCTGTCGGAGAACCAAGAACGTCAAGTTACTCAAACATTTAGGAATTGGACCTGTGAAACTGTTGTTGGACAGATCAAGAACCATGAGAGAGTTGTGGTTGCAGAGTGAGAGAGGTATGTTCCCTGTGAAACTATTTCCCCACGCAGATAATGAGACAATAGAGAGTGGCAGGTTAGGAAGTGCTCCTTGAAAACTGTTTAAAGCCAATACTAATATCTGAACAGATGAATTCACTAAAACTTCCGGGGAACCTTCGAAACCATTAAGAGAATTGTTTAACAAATCCACAGAGCTCAGACGAGGAACTTTCCACAACCATGAAGGGACTTTTCCTTTGATTCCATTGTTGGACAGGTCTAGATGCTGCAAGTCTTGAAGGGTCTTTAAGATGCTTGGAAACTCAGTGACGTTGCAGCGCGACAAGATCAAGAATACCATGCTCGATGGGATGCTTGAATCTGAACTCCAACAGGCTGGTGATATGCTATTACCGGTTAGATCAAGGGACACCAAAGATTTAAGAGAGGAGATGAAGGTTAAGTCAATTGGGTAGCTTGTGTTGAGGAAAGAAAGGTCGAGTCTCTTAATGTTGGTGAGCTTTGAGATAGGCTCTAGGATTTGTGCTTCGAAATGGTTATCCCCTAGGAAAAGGATCTCGAGCCTAGATGAAGTAGATGAGTTAGGAACTCCAACAGAACCGGCGAGATTGTTCCCACGTAGATCAAGATATTCCAAGGAAGGCATAGTGAGGGGAGAAGAAGGAATGGTTCCAGTGAAGTGATTATCAGCAAGTACTATATCATACAGCTTGGTTAGGTTTTGTATAAACGGTAAACTACCAGTGAACTGGTTTTGGTCAAGGAACAACCGGTTTAACAAAGTCAGGTTACGGATTGTGGGAGGAACTTGGCCAAAGAAGCTATTAGAGGAAAGAGACAATACCTCTAACTTGTTGAGATTTCCAAACTCGGAAGGGAATGGAGAACGGAAGTTGTTGAAAGCAAGATTAAGAGAACGGAGATTGTGCAACTCAAAGAGGCTACTGTTGGGATTCAAAGTTCCAGAGAAGTGATTGTTTGAAAGCTCTAAAAAGGAAAGCTTGCTTAGATTCCACAAAAATGGGAAACTACCAGTGAGCTCGTTATGGGAAAGGCCTAAATAGGAAAGCATCCTTAGGTTGTTAAAGGAGGAAGGAACTTGGCCGAGGAAACCATTAGAGGAAAGAGACAAAACCTCTAACTTGTTGAGATTGTCAAACTCGGAAGGGAGTGAAGAGGAGGTGAAGTTGTTGTCAGAGAGATCAAGGTAACGAAGTTGATGCAGCCTGAAGAGGCTACTGTTGGGTTTCAGAGTTCCACTGAGACAGGCCGTGAGGCGTAGCTTCGTGACCGCACCCGTCGAGTTATCGCACCAGACTCCATTGGAAAAATCACTATGGTTGCAACCGCGAGTATCAAACTCGTTCTTGAACTGCGTAAGGGCTTGAATCTGGCGGGGAAGACAGTCAACAAGACCAGGGACAAGATCATCTATCAATACGATGCTTGAAAGGGGAGACCCAACAGAGTAAAAATTATTGAGTGAAAATGAAAAACGCATAACCGATTCCATCATGGTCGTCATGAAAGAATGATTTTTCCAAGACAAATGAGAGAAAATTCTGGTTTAAGTAAAGATATGATTTTGCATTGTAAATTAACAAGTAGACAAAGCGTTCACGTTATGGTTTAGTTATTAAAAAACTATCAAAGCGGAGTATATGATGTTTGACAAAAATATTGGCAAGTTTGAAAAGTATGGCCAAGTGCCACGTTGATGTCCAAGAGCCACTCAAATCATGATGTGAAATTCACAAGAGTTTACTTTTAACGTATAACTTTGTTGACAATTGAGTTGAAAGGAACAAGTGGTTGCGGTTTAATGGCTAACTAGGTGTTTAGTCCGTGATTTGCGCGGGCCGAAAAATTTCATTGAAACCTAAAATAAAATTTTATATCATAAATCAAAAATAATTAAATCAAGAATTTGATACATACAAAATTAAATAAAGCTAACCTATAAAAGTAATCATTGTCTAACATTAAAAACTTTAAAATCAATACTAATAAGTGTATAAAATCAATAAACACAAACTAAAATAAGATTAATATGAATTATCATCTTTTTATCTTTTTATCTTTTAATTTTTTTTCTCTATCATTTTCTTCTTTTTTTCTTTTTTTCTTTTTTTTGTTTTTTTTCTTCTTCACTTTCTATGTCTTTTTTACTTTTTATTCTGCTGATTTTTTTTTCACGTTTTCTTCTTCTTCTCCACATCTTTTGATTTTCTTCTCTTCCAGGTTTTATTTCCTTTCTTCTTCTTCTTCTTCAATGTTTTATTATTATCTTTCTTCTTCTTTTTTTCTTTTCTTTTTTCATTGCCATCGTTTTCTTCGTTATCATCGACTTTCTATTTTTCTGGTGTTTTTCGGCTTTTAACTCATCTTCATATTCTTCTACTTTCTCCAATTCCTCATCTTTTAAGGTTTTCATCCAATTTTTTCTCTTCCCTATCTTCTTCTTCTTCTACTTTGTCTTTTATTTTATTTATTTTCTCCTTCAACAGATTCTTATTCTTCTTCTTCCGATTATTCTCCCTATCTCTAAATTCTTCATCATTTTTTAAAGATATTTGTCTTATCTATCTTTTTACTCCTCTCATGGTTTATATTTTCTCCTTTTTAGTTTTTTCCTAATATTTTTAGGTCTTTTTTATCGTTATTTGTTTTCAAATTGTTCTTCTATATTTTCTTCATCTTTTGTTTTTTACTTCTTATTCATCTGATTTGTCTTCGTTTTTTCATCATATTTATCTTTTTCTACTTTGTCTTCTTCATCTTCTAGTTTTCTTCCATTTTATTATTTTTTTTTCTTTTACTTCCTCTACTATCTACTGGTTTTCTTTATTACTTCTTCTTCTGATTATCTTTTTTCTTCTCCAATTGGTCATTTTTTTTTGTTCATCGTCTTCGACCTATTCGAGTACTTTTTTTTATCTTACTTGTTCACCGTATTATTTTTTGTTCACATTATCGTTGTTTTCTTATTCTTCTCCTTTTTCTTTATTTTTTAGCTTTTATATTCTTTGTTTTTTCCTTCTTATCTTTCATTGTTTTTGACTATTTCTTCTTATATATTGTATTAATCTTCTTTGACTTCTTGATTTTTTTTCATTCGGTTTTTTCTTTGTTTTTTTCTGTTGATTTTTTTGTTTTATTTGTCTGCCCCTTCTTCTTTGTTTTATTTTATTGTCTTTGTATTCTCTAAATTCTTATTCTTCAACATCTTCTACTATTCTTCTTTTGGTTTTATTAGCCGTTTTTATCTTCTGCTTTTTACTTCTTCTTGGTCATTTTTGTCCTATCCAAGCTTTTTTTTCTTTCTAATTTTTGTTTGTCCTTTTCGCATCTTTACTTTCTTCTTTTTTATTTTCTTTTTCATCGTCGGGTTTTCATCTTCTTATACTTTATTTTCTTCATCTACCATTTTTGTTCTTCTTTTTCTTTCAGTTTTCTTCTTCAACTTTGAGTTCTTCATCTCCTTATCATTTTTCTTTTTCACTATTTTGTGTTACCCATCTTGATCTTATCGTTCATGGTCTAGGACTTTTTGTTCATTTTTTCCTCATTTTTTACGTTTTCGTCAACTCTATGTTCTTCTATATGTTTCAGTTTATCTTTTTCTCTTCTTTTTCTACTTCTTTTTTCCCTTTTTCCTTTTTTCTGTTTTCTTTTTTGGTTTTTCCCTCTGCGTCCTGCTAGAGTATTTGGCATCTCTTACATTATTTCAAAAATAAAAAGAATTCAGAAAGCCATTTTTAAAACAAAAGACTTAAAACCTGTTCATTAGACAATGAAGATGATTTATGATATGTTGACATGGTTTTAATCACGTTAAGTAAGGAAGAATAACTGACAACACAAAACAACAACATATAATCGAGGAACACTACTACTGGTACTGAAAAAAGGGGAAACAACAATACTCCCTCCGTTTCATAAAGAGTGTTGTTTTAAGGTTTTATTTTTGTTTCACAACGAGTGTCGTTTTATATTTTCAATGCAGAATTTTAAACAATATTCCAGTTTTGACCCTATTGATTTAATGTATTAATTAGAGAAAAAGGGTTATTTAATGCATTAATAAAGGGCAAAGTAGTATTTTTAATAGTTTTCTTAATAAGTGTGAAAAATGTCAGAATGACACTCTTTGTGAAACGGAGAGAGTAGAAAAAAACAAAAAATTGATTTATAAAAAATAAAGACGGTAAACAATACAACAAAAAGCCGACCAATGTAGAAACCAAACCACAATTAAGCTTAAGATACATTTAAAAAAGTAATATATATATATATATATATATAGCTCTCAACTTAAGCTAGTATTTCCCAATTCACATGCACATTTTTTTTTCAGATAATCTCGCTCAACAGATAATCCGATTAACGAATAAAAAGGAATTAAAAAGATTTTATTAATGAATAAAGGAGAATTAGTTACCTAGATAGAATGAGAGATTTTATAGCGAAAAATTTACTTTGCATATATTATATATGATATGATTCTAAATGTTTTTTTGATTAAATTCCAATTTTTAAATTTTCGTTATTTTTCTATTTTAAATATTTTTTTGATTAAATTTCCGAGTTTGAATAATTTTTTTATTTAAATTGAAATGTTTTTGATTAAAATTTCGAATTTAAAGGTTTTTTTATTTAATTTTACGAATTTTAATAATTTTTATTTAATTACGA